TTGTTTCTGTATCTTCTATTCTCTAACATTGGTCTGTTTTTTTGTTTGTTTGTTTGTTTGTTTATGCCAGTACCATACAGGGGTTTTGTTTTGTTTTGTTTTTACTATAGCTCTGTAGTATCATTGGAAGTCAGGAATTGTGATGATTCTAGCATTGTTTGTGTGGTTGGTTGGTTGGCTTTTTTGCCTTAAAATTTCTTTGGCTATTCTGGGAATTTTACTCTTCCAAATGAATTTTAGGACTATTTTTCCTAGTTCTATGAAGAATGTCATCATTATTTTAATGGGGATTAAATTGAATCTATAGACTGCTTTGGTAGTATGGCCATTTTAACAACATTACTTCTGCCTGTCCATGAACATGGGAAGTCTTTCCAGCTTTTAGTGACTTCTTCCCTGTCTTTCTTCAATGTTCAATTTTTGCTGTAGAGGTCTTTCTCTTCCTCAATTAGATTTATTTCTAGCTCTTTTTTGTTTATTTATTTTGAATGCTATTGTGAATGGAATTGTTTTCCTGATTTCTTTTTTTGGCAAATTTATTATTGGTGTGTAGGAAAGTTATAAATTTTTGTATGTTGATTTTGTAACCTGATACTTTGCTGAATTTGCTTATTAGCTCTTCCAGTCTTCTGGTGGAACTTTTTGGATCTTGCAAGTATAAGATCATATCAGTTGCAAAAGGCAATAATTTGATTTTTTTCTTTTCTATTTGTATCCCTTTTATTTCTTCCTCTTGCCTAATTCCTCTGTCTAGAACTTCAAATACTCTATTGAGTAAGAGTGGTAAGAATAGACATCATATCTTGTTACTGACTCTAGAGAAAATGCTTTCTGTTTCTCCCCATTCACTATGGTATTGGTTTTGAACGTGTTGTACATTGTCTACATTATGTTGAGGTAGCTTCCTTCTATTCCTAGCTTCTTTAGTGTTTTTATCATGGATGGATGCTTTTGCCAAAGGCTTTCTCTGCATCTATTGAGATGACCATGTGATTTTTTTTTTGCCTTAATTCTATTTAGGTGGCAAATTAAATTTATTGATTTGTGTATATTGAACTATAAATTTTTTATTTCAGAAACTATATACCAGGGTTTAAATTATCAAACATTGTGAATATTATAAAGGTTTTATTTTCAAAGAATGTCATTTATCAAACTATTAATGCTGCAAATGTCTCCAGAGCTAACAAATACCACACAACTGGAGCTGATTGTATAGAATAGACCAAACAAGCTTATTTCCAGTGTAAACCAAAGCTTAAAAAAAATGGGAGGGTGGGGCTGAGGGTGTAGCCCAGTGGTAGAACACTTGGCTAGTATGTACAGGGCCCTGGGTTAGGTCCCCAGCACCACAAAAGAAATTAATTTCATATATTTCGAAAAGCCAGCAATGCTTGGGTCCAAAGGAAACCAGGGAATGCATGAAGAAATATTCCTCCTCATCATGAAAAATCACTAATGATTATTCAAGTCCTTAATTAGAGTATTTAGTTAACATTCAAAAGAGCCCAAGAAAAGACATATTTGAAACCCAATTTCCCGGTTCCCGGGAGGACATAATTATATTGCACAAAATGGCTGTCAGGCTTCCCACTACTGGAAGGAAGGGGCAATTCTGAGAAGCAATATGAGTGGGCTGGCACCTATGTGTACCCCGCAAAGTCTGTCCCTTCTTCATAGCATCCTTTCAGATATCCCAAGTTCAGGGTCAGATCTCCTGTGAATCTCCCAAAATTCTCCATTCATTTGTCACCCAACCTGGCTGGCTGTCCCCTCCCTATCCTGATAATTATCCAACAGAAATATCACTCAGGGAAGGGTGGCAATGGAGGCTTTATGTGGTCACTTAGCAAATTTAGAGTTTTTCAACATGAGGACTATTTTCCTGTAGCCCCAGCTGGGGACAGGCGCTAGTCTCTAGATGTCCGTATCACCAGGGAACACCTCTCAAGTGACTGACATGAGTCCTGGTAGAAAAGCAACAGTGATGGGACAACATGGACCGTTCAAATGTCCACAGTGGAAGGGCTCCTGGAGAACAATTTGTCCCAACCTTCTCTTACCATCGGGAGGAAACATGAGGGCCAGACACAGGAGAAGGTCAGCCATGTATGGAACGTAACTGAGATGGAGCTAGGAGCTCTTCTGATTCCCAGTCCTCTGGCTCCAATCACATCAGAGCCTTGACTTTTCACAAAACAATCTGAATCTAACAGTCAATCTGGATCCCCCGAGATCCTTGTCCCTGCTGCACCTTCCTGGGACGAACAGCTTTTGTACGCCTGCTTCCTGTCTGTTAAATGAAGATAATGATGATTTCCCAGGGTTGTGGCAATGGTCTTAAAGGGAACATTAGATGTATTCTCACACTGCATGTCATCAATGAGGAGTGAGTGGGTATCATCAACTCATCATCATCATCATCGTCATCTCTGTCATTAAGAGACTCAAGGTCACAGAGCAACAGCTTCATCAATGTATTAAACAACTGAGCACCTCCCAGACAAATCTTGAGGGTTAAAGGCCTGTCTGTCTGCTCTCCTTCAGGGATTCCAGTCATGTATATCTGAGGCCACACAGTGTCTCACAATGTCTCACGACTCACCCTTGTTCTGTTTGGTCTTGGGGATTTTTTTTCTTTTTTGCATCTCATTTTGGATGGCTTCTATTGCTCTTTCTTCAAGTTCACTAATATTTTCTTCTGCAACATCTAAACTGCTATTACTCTTGTGCAGTCTAGTTTTTATCTCAGATATTTCCTGTTGACTTATTTTTCTGTCTTCTTGAACGTATAGAAAATACTTACAACAGTTCGAGTGTCCTTGTCTACCCATTCTGCCATCTGTTTGATTTCTGGATCTGTTTTTGGGGATTGACAGTTTTCTTCTCTGTGGGCTCCGCCTCCCTGCTTCTCCACATGGTCGGCGCAGCTATTACATGGCTGAAAGACACTGTGAATTTTACCCTCTTGGGTGCTGGATATTTTTATATGTTTTTCAAATGTTCTTGAGTTTTTATTCTGGACATTGGTTAAGTCATTTGAAAGCAGTTTATTTTTTCCAAGGCTTACATGGGGTTCCTTAGTTGAGATCAGAGCAAGCTCAAGTCCTGGCTAATTAGACCTATTGCTACTACGAAGACCATAACTTTCTTATACTCTAGGCGATGTCCCATGTCTTACAGGATTTCCCCTCTGGCTGGTGGGAACAGATATTCCTGATATATATTCCTGATCTGTGTGAGCTCTGAGGATTATTATGCCCAGTGCTTCAAGGGATTCTAGCAGTTTCTTTGTGCAAATGCGGCTCTCGTTTTCTGTAGACACTGAGGAAGGAGAGCCTCTGCAGGTCTCCAGCCCTCTCTGCAGCTGTCCCTCAGACTCTGCCTTGGAAGCCTGAGATTCCCAGGCCACCTCCCCCTCACAAGGGGTCCACCAGCCTCCACCTGGGCTGAGCCCCACTGCTAAAGCTGGGAGATCCCCCACCACCCCAGCAATAAGCAGGAGAGCACCCATCTTTTCTCCTGGACACCTATGCTGGCTGCCTGCTGCTCTGGTCTGAAAAGCACTGTACATATACATTGTGTCCTGGTTTTCAGTTGTTTAAGGTGGGGGTGAACGTGGTCCGTGTTGCTCCAACATGGCTTAAACTTGAAGTCAGTCCTGCTTAGACTTTTAGAGCTGAGCTGTTCTTCCTCACTAGGTTAGGATCTCAGAGGACCAGGGATCCAGTAGTTACTGGATGCTGGGGGCATCTTTTGAGCCCTGATTAGGGCTAGTCCACCAGACTTGGCCATGTGAGAAAGGAACCAAGTCTCTTGGCACAGGCCAGTGGGGGTCAGGGGTTTCTAACATGTATCTTAAGTGATCCACCTTAATAATTTAAAATGCACAGGAACAACCTCATGTGCTTGCAGAACTGGGGCAAAGGTCACAGAAAACAATCTGTTGTAAAAAGCTGTCCCCACTCCTTCAGGCCTGTATACTGTAGGTACTGAGGAAATGCGTCTCGGTCCTGTCCTCAGATAACTGCTTCTTGATCCAGCCTTCAGAGCTGATCCATTCTCTCTCCCGCCATCCCTCAAGTTCCCCTTTCTTTCCAGCAGGTAGCTGGTCTGGTCCTGGGGCCCTCTGAGCAGAACCAGGCTTTACAGTTAATATCCCGCAGCCTCTGATTGCAGCTTTCAGAGGTGTAACATTTGATAAGCTCCATTTAGCTTGGCGGGGCTGCATTGTTTAAATTATTCAAAGACAGATTGCTCGCTCCACCCCCCCTCCAGGGTTTCTGCTCTGCTGAGCCTGCCGGCAGCACGTTACCAGGAAATAAGGCGGGGAGTCAGCAGGCAGTTTCTCACTGCCCTGAAATCAGTTCCAGCCGTTGTTCTACACCCATCACACCCCATTATTCCTTGCTAATTGCAAGCCTGGTATGCAAGTTAACTCTTTGAGAACAATGCTGGCTTTGATTGCTGGGGAGACACAGTGAGCCTCCCACCTCCTCCTGCCTCCCCTCCCCCTCTGTCCCCAGCTGACTGACTGTCTGGGATTCAGCAAGTCAAGGGGTGGGAAGAAATCTGAAAATCTGAGGTAGAGCTGGTTCCCCAGGCATTCCGATTGGGCAGGTGGATACAGCCAGTTGGGTCCCAGCCTAAGGCTGGAGCAGCCTCATCTCTAACTGGTGTTGGACAACCCAGTCTTGCTATTGTGTCCAGCCATCCGCATGGCACCTAGAGGGTGTGCAGGCTGGGCCCTGGCTCAGAACAAGCCATCACCTCCTGGTCCAGGGAGCCCTCGCCACTGCCCTTGGACGTGGCCTCACTCCTTCTGCACCTGAGCTGTTTGCTCCCTACACACGGAATGATTGTCACGGTCATCTGGCAGTGGTCACGAAGAACTATTCTTCCAGGGATCCTTTTCATCATCGACTTAGAACAAATAAGAATAATTCTAAGAGTTGGTTGGCCATCAAAGCCTAAAATATGTGCTCTCTGGTCTTTTACAGGAAAAAGGCTGCTGGCCCCTCCCCTAGAATCTGAATTAAGAGACGGAGGCAACTCGGTGTCTGGACCTTGAAGACAACGTGTGAGCCTGTCTTGGCCTGGATCCTAGACCAGAAGAAGACATGGCTGGAACTGCACTGAAGGGGACCTGCAGATGGGACAGTAGAGTCACCGTGTCACTTCCTTGATTCTCATCATTGCACTGTGGTTCTGCAAGGGAGACATATGGGGAATTGTACTATTTTTGCAACTTTTTTGAAAGCCTGAAATTGTTTTGAAAAAAACAGATACATTTGGGGGAGGAAAAAAAAAAAAACATGGGGCAGGCGTAGTGGCTCATGCCTGTAATCCCAGCAACTCAGAAGGCTGAGGCAGGAGGATGACAAATTTGAGGCCAGCCTTGGCTACTTAGTGAGACCCTTTCTCAAAATAAAAGGGGCTGTGGATGTAGCTCAGTGGAAGAATGCCCCTGGGGAGGGCCTGGGGAGGGTGGCTTTTAGGTGGGGTGGAATTGGGAAAGGAGCACTTAGACAGATGGTCACTTCCCCAGAGGGCCTGAGGGTGAGCTGGGGATGCATGCAGCAGTCCAAAGAATGCAGGCTTTGGCAAGGACATGGAGTGAACAAGGACGGGGTGGCTGTGCGGTAGAAGGTTAGTCTCCAGGGGCTGCCTACCATAAAGCCTAAAGCCTCAGTGAACTCACTAACCTCATGAAATAAGTGCCAATAGATTTCCTGTGTAGGAAGCGAAGGGTCCAAAGTCAGGCTAACTGGCAGGAGGGCAAACAGTGGACCCACCTGGATGCAGGAGCAGATAAGGACCCTAAGGAAGTAAGGCTGGCCCTTTTCAGGGTGGCCCAGGCTGAGCCACAAGACCAGAGCCAAGTTCACCTAAATTGCCACAGGCCAGAGGCCCCAAGAGTGAGTTGCCCTCTCAGGGGTGACCCCTGTCTACTCCCTTGCCCCCAGCCTGATGACCAACAGGGTCTCTGATGCTGGCCCCTCCAAGCCCAGCAGTGCCATGGTCACACTGCCACTCCTGTGCTTGGGCTTTTACCAACCTCAGGGCTGCTAACCAGAGCTGGGAGGGCCACTGGCTGGGCAGTAAGCAGCATGCTCCATGAGTAGACTGGGCACATTAGTAACTAAGAAGAGCAGAAAGTTCCTGCCGCAGCAGAAGTACCTTTAAGCAAGAGAAGTTGCGAGGAGGCCCGAGGATCCTTCTCAGGAAAATGGTGCAGTCAGAGAGGACAGCCATGAGCACGCTCCAGAGGGCCTGACTGGCCAGGGGCCATCCGTGTGGGATGGCAGGAAGGCCTCTGCCCAGTTCCCATGGTCACTCCCAGCCCAGGACTCAGTGCAGCAGGGACACCAGGCAGACCAGGCGGCCAGCGGGAACAGAGTCCCTTGCTGCTTGACCAAACCTGCCTGTGACTACCCATCTGTCTAGAGATTCCACAGGACCTTCTCTCCTCGTCTTCACCCAGGTCAAACTTGTTTTGCTGACTGGCTTCTAGCCTCCCCAGCCCTCCCCATTTTCTCTCACACAGGCATGACCATGACGCACATTATCAGCACATCTCAAACACGCAGAGGAAATTCCTTACTTTAATTCCATCCGGGTCTCTGCTATTTAGAGTGATCTCCCCTGGAGTGACTCGCCCAGTTCTGCTCTACTCTAAGGTTCCTCTAAGATAACCAATCCCCTGCCCCACGGTCTCCCAGAAGGAGGGGACAGGATATGCAGCAAGGCCTTTTAATTTTCCATAATTTTAATATGTTTCTTTTTATTAAAATTAAATCTTTTTATAGCTTTATTTTATTCATTTATTTTATGTGGTGCTGAGGTTTGAACCCAGGGCCTCACAGATGCTAGGCAAGTGCTCTACCACTGAACCACAACCCAGCCCAATATGTGTGTTTAAAATCTAAAATATAGGGGCTGGGATGTGGCTCAAGCGGTAGCGCGCTCACCTGGCATGCGTGGGGCCCGGGTTCAATCCTCAGCACCACATGCAAACACAGATGTTGTGTCCGCCAAAAACTGAAAAATAAATATTAAAAAATTCTCTCTCTCAAAAAAAAAAATTAAAATCTAAAATGTCTAATTCCTGGAATATAACCTTTACTTTGACTGTAAGGTGGTCAAACACCCACTGTAGAGGGAAAAAAACCATCCTACAGTTGATTTCTGATTTAAATTTCCTACCAGCTGAGGTGGTAATCACTTCTGAACTATTTAGTGGCCATGTCTTTAAAGGTCGTATTGGACAGTTGCTGGAGGTCATATGTAAGGAAAAGCATCCTCCTCCTCCTCCTGCCCAAAACATAGATGCATAAACCTCAGAATCAGGATTCATGAGAAGCCAGAAATCATGGTGGGACACTAACAGGTTGAGTCAACGTCCATCTCAGTAAGTTGCACGAGGCCTCAGTGTGCAGATGTCAAAGACATACAGTTTGCAGACTGGCTTTACTTACGTCCACAAAATAAGTGTATGCAGGGTGAGTCTGTTCATGACTCGGGGAGCTGCTTCAGAAACAGCATGACTGACATGGAAAGGGGAATGATGGGAAGAGGAACTGAGAAATGGGAGAAAGGAAGATCAGAGAGGAGTCCGCCCTGGGTTCTGTGAGCTGGTCCACTTCCAGGACTGGCATCTGGGTCCTGGCAGGACTATTGACTCCTTAATGAGAGAGCCCCTCAAGGATCAATTTCCAGACAAAACTGTCCCAGATGCCCCCATGTCACCCAGATGGGTGGAAGCCATCAACCCACAGGGAGAATCTTGCTCTCTGATGAGAGAAACGCTTGGAAAACTATCCACCCCAAGGGTGTGAGAGACACCAGAGGGAGGCAGTGTGAAGTGTGGTGTGGGTCCTGCCCAGGATTGGTTCCCAGAGAGGACACTGGCATGGGGCTCAGCTGTCCCCTCGCTGAGTGCCCAGCGGCTCTCTAAGAGCAGCCAAGGACGTGGAGAGCCAGGGCAGCTCGGGAGCCTGGGAGCGGGTGGACCCTGCCTGGTGCCTTGAGTTAGGAAACCAGGTCAGAGAGCTTCCAAGCTACTAGGTGAAGAGCTGGCATTAGAAGGCGTCTGCAGGCACCACGTGGGTGTCCTGACACCTGTCCCTCGGCGCCCATCGAGAAGGCCTTTCTGGCTCCTGGCCTCAGCGGCTCTGGCAGCCCTCATTTCCTCTGCTGGGTTTGGGGCTTAAAGCTGCCCAAGTGAGGAGCTCAGATCTGCCTTTGCGTGAAGCAGCTCTTTAAATGCATTTTTCAGCACGACTCCCTGCAAGACATAGACGTTCAACTGCACGTGCGCGCGCGCGCACACACACACACACACACACACACACACACGGTCCGGGCTTCACAAACAGCGCTCGCTCTGACGGCTCTCCAGGCACTCTGCCGTTCTCTCCCACTGTCTCCTCTTTCCCTTTCTCCATCATGGTTAAAAACAAAAACGCTGCTTGGGATTGGATGAGCACTAGCTGAAAGGAGCGTCACCACTCTGGGGGTCCAAGGGGCCCTCTGAGAAGGTGGCAGGTCCCTGCACATGGTCATCATCCCACCTTTCTGAGGAGGCTGGAATTGTGTCCCAAGGAGGTCCCCACGGTTCCCCTGGGTCATACCACTGCACCAAAACGTCATGCTCAGACACCCGCGCGGTGTCACAGTCAGGGTGACTCTCATGGGCTTAAACTGAATGCCTCGCTAGGAAACCCCAAGAGCTACATGGCCAAAGAGTGAGTGCTATTCCTACTTGGTTAACTGCTAGGAAAAGTAAAGCTTGAACTATGTAGGTGACTTGTCCAAGGCCAACTGCAGCTGGCAGGGTCAGAGCAAGGAGCCCAGGGTCTCATGATGCTCTATGTACTGTGCCCTGCCCTTCCACAAGGCTGATGGAAGCCTGCAGCCCTTGCCGTCTCCACCTTTGGAAGTCTCATCTGGTCCCCAAGCTCTGGACCAACAAGGTCCTGAATACGGGAAATTTCTTTTTTTTAAAAATATTTTTATTTTTTAGTTGGAGTTGGACACAATACTTTTAGTTTATTTATTTTTATGTGGTGCTGAGGATCGAACCCAGGGCCTCACACTTCCTAGGCGAGTGTTCTACCCCAGTGCTGGGAGCCATTAGCCAAGTAAGTATGACAATTTCCTTGCCAGCGTACCCCATGTTGCAGTGACATTGAATGTACTTAACCTTGCTCAAGGACCAAGGCAGATTAGGGTGTTCCCGGTTTTAAGATAATCTTGTTTAGGGCGTTCCCAGTTTAGGTTCCAGGTTTAAGGTTTAAGATTATTCCTGCTGGGAATAGGGCGTATCCTGCTGCCTGAGTTCCCCTTGAGTTCTCACGGGATTCAGACAGTATATTTTGGAGATAGAAGCCCAGTGGAGGTGAATTTGGGAGAGAAGGAGGATTTGGGAAGAGAACGTGGATTTCCCCAGAACGTGATTGTAGACGGCTGGTGTGAGTTCGGGAATAAAGAGTTGCTGTTTGAATCTACAAGCTGTGTGGTGGCTCGTGATTGTGTGCCCAGCCAGACTGCGGCATTTGGTGGCCCGTACGGGGAACTTCTGAAGCTTGGAGGTAAGTGAAATTGCTCGCCCCTGAGGAAGAGCGAAAGAATGGGTGACCAACTCAAAAAACAATGTGTTCTTGTTTTGATTTATCTTGTTTTTGTTTCAAGCTGCCTATCCCTAGAAATTTCTCAGGCAAACTGGAAAAAATGGTTGACTAAAGGTTTGAAGTTTGTCGGCCCTGAGGAAGAGAAAATTGATACAACGATTTTTTATTCCGTTTTTGTTTCATTCAGTTTCGGCTTTGTTTTGTGCTATCTTATTGGGTTGCGTTATCTTTATAGTAGATTAGAAATTAGTAAAAAACAAACCGAAAAGATGTTAAGTAAATTGTTAGAGGTTCAGACCATGGAGAAAGACATTTTAGATCAAGCAAAAGAGAAGGTCTCTCGAGCTAGTCAGACAGAGGAAGAAAATTTAAAGGAAAAGGGGTTGTTAGGAAAAAGGCCACAACAGGAGGCTGTTACTAACTCCATTTTATCACAAGAGGGCATAATTCAACCAACAGCCCCACCGATGGAGACAGCTGAGTGGCCCTCAAACCCCGTAGTTGATAAATGGGATCCTGAGACAGGACCTCAAAGATTAGCATGCCCTGTACTTGAACAGGCAGGAGGGCAGCGAATTCACCGTGCTTTAGATTTTAAAACAGTGAAGCAGTTAAAGGAGGCTGTAACAACCTACGGGCCCCAAGCTCCCTTCACGGTAAGCATGGTCGAGTCCATTACTAACTTGGACATGACGCCAGCAGATTGGGCTAGCATGTGTAAATCTGTACTAAATGGAGGACAATATTTGTTATGGAAGGTTGCCAATGAGGAATTTTGTGCGGAGACAGCTAGGCGAAATGCAGCAGCCGGTTACCCTCAAAGAAATCTAGATATGTTGTTAGGAAAAGGACCTTATGAGGGTCAACGGCAACAAATTGAATATGATCCTGCTATATATGCACAAATTGCTGCAGACGCAGTTAGGGCATGGAAGACTTTACAAGGACATGGAGATTTACAAGGTCAGCTATCTAAGGTAATACAGAGAGCTAATGAACCTTACGCTGACTTTGTAGATAGGCTAATTCAAACGGCTGCCAAAATTTTTGGGGATACAGAACAAGCAATGCCATTAATAAAACAACTGGCTTATGACCAAGCAAATCGTTGCTGCAGAGAGGTTATTAGACCATGGAGACATGAAGATTTAAACACATATATTAAATTATGTAGAGATATTAATGAACAAGGGCAAGTCTTGGCAGCTGCAGTACAACAGGCTTTAGATGCCAGGCCAAAAACATGCTATGATTGTGAACAAACAGGACATTTTAAAAGGAATTGCCCCATAAGAGGAGGGTTTAACAAAAGTAGGTATCAAAGGAATAGAATACCGGGTATTTGCCCACGATGCCGTAGAGGGAGACATTGGGCTAATGAATGCCGTTCTCAAACCACCATAGAAGGTACTCCCTTATCAAAAAACGGACAAAGACCAGGTATTTATCCAAGATATCGTGGAGAAAGGCATCAGGCTCCATTGCCAAAAAACGGACAGGGGGCCCAATGCTCCGGGGCCCACAACCACAAATATACGGGGCAGTGGAGGATCCCAGCAACACCATCAGGGTAGTGCCCAGGACACATTGTCCATTAAATCCCTCATCAGACAAACCCGAGGGAGCGCAGGGTTGGACATCTGTGCCTCTGCCAGAGCAGTATTAACTCCAGAGATGGGAGTTCAAATCATTCCCACAGGAGTAAAAGGACCTCTTCCCCAAGGAACAGTAGGCTTATTACTGGGACGTAGTTCATCTACATTAAAAGGACTTATGATAAGTCCTGGGGTAATTGATCCCGATTATGTAGGTGAAATAAAAATTATAGCTAGTTCTCCAAGAGGTATATCAGTAATTTCACCTGGAGATAGAATAGCACAGTTGTTAATAATACCCAGCCTACATAATAAATTTCCTAGTCATAGTGTAGAAAGAGGTTCCAGGGGATTAGGCTCCACAGGTGTAGATTGGGCTATGTTGTCTTTAAATTTAGATTCTCGCCCAATGCTAAAACTAAATATTCAAGGTCATGAGTTTAATGGGCTACTGGACACAGGAGCTGACCTTAGCATCATATCTCGTCAAGAATGGCCAAAACATTGGCCATTACAACAAGCCACTCAAACGCTTCGAGGCCTAGGAGTGGCGACTAATCCCCATAGAAGTTCTATG